ACATGTGGAAATAACACAATTAATAATAACTACTGCTTGCATTCAATTCGCCTCTTCTCCAAACAACTTATTTTGTTTTGTTTTTTTTTCAAATTGATTATCATTTTTAAAAAGCAACACGCCATTATTATTATTTCTATCATACAAACAATTTAAAAGGATTTATTTTTTCGAGTTGAGACAAATGGAAGCAACACAATTAAAAATAACTATTGCTATTACTATGTTGCATTCAATTCGCCTCTTCTCCAAACAACTTATTTTGTTTTTTTTTTTTTTCAAATTGATTATCGTTTTAAAGCAACACACCATTATTATTATACAAACAATTTAAAATGATTTTTTTTCGAATTGAGACATGTGGAAATAACACAATTAATAATAACTACTGCTTGCATTCAATTCGCCTCTTCTCCAAACAACTTATTTTGTTGGTTTTTTTTTCAAATTGATTATCATTTTAATGCGCAATACAAAACAAACTACTTATTAAAGATGAGCAGCAATATTACTATTATACAATTTAAAATGATTTATTTTTCGAATTGAGAAATGTGGAAGCAACACAATCAAAATAATTACTCCTATTGCTGTGTTGCATTCAATTTGACTCTTCTCCAAACAACTTATTTTATTTTATTTTTTTCCATTTTAAGCAACATATCATTACTATTATTATTTATATATACAACTAAAATGATTATTTTTGATTGAAAATGAATTTATTTTTTTCAAGCTCATTTAGGAAGCATAATTAAAAATAATACAATTGTTCATTCTATCCAAATTTGTTATTATAGAAATATGTCGTATGCAAAGAATGATCTGCATGTATAATCTATAAAGGGTTTGTGTAATAAACTGGTTACACCGAACCGGTTGAACCGCCCCATCCCTACTTGCACCAACATCATTCAACTTTGAAAATAATAAGTCATTTTCTCCAATAATGTAAGTCAATATAGTTTTTTGATAATACTCACCTGAAAACAATTCTAGATTAGTTATGATATCATCTAATAAATATGCCTTACTGATTGCTATACCATCTGGGATAGTGTCACTGCTAAGGTGTGTTATATGAATGTGGAAATGATCTATATTAAAAATATTTATAATTAGGATTGGACATAGCTATATATATGTAATATAAAGGCTCAATCACTTACAATAGGAAGGCAGGTAGTGCACAAACAATCTTAATTCATCTGCACCAACTCCCATAAACTTTTTTGGCACAAATTCCAAAATTTTTTTCTTAAATTTTTTAATAATGGTACATGTGATTTGTTCAAATCTCAAAGTGAATGAATATCATTTCAATGAACAATTGCAACTGAATAAATTGATTCTAAAATTTTGTTGTCCCATTTCCTACATTATCATCATAACAGATAATAATAATAATAATAATAATAATAATACATAAATAAAAATTAACAAATTAGCATTAACTATTATTATTGTCAATATTTTTTTTCCATCTTCATCTTACATATCAGGTAGCAAAACAAATCCAATTTGATAATTCGGATCTTCCATCAAAATTTTTTCAGCCTCACTCTTTTTTTGCAAAATATTATAGACCCATTGTATTCTGCTTGATGGTATAGAATCTATATATGGCTCTATAATATCTTTGTATATTTGAGGAGTTTCATGTATTAAATAGCATTTCTGATGACTATATTTTTTTATGTGCTAAATAATAAATAATCAATGCATTCTCTTATTTAATAATTAATTAATTCTATTTATTCTCTTGATTATAATCTTTAATATTTAATTAAACTTACAGTTTCTGTTGCAGGGCAAATTAGTGTCATATTAATATCTGGCAATTTTTCATCTTTATTCAATAAACCATCATACCAGTGATAAATATCATTTTTATCTTTTAACATCCAATCATTGATTCATTGGCTAGTAAAATTAGATAATTCCTTATTATCAAAATGTGATTTTTCAACTAATAAAAATTACATGATGCTTTTGTAAAGTTGGATCATCTGATGATGTTGATAGCAGTGTAGACAAATAACCTAATAGATTAATTTTTTTTGTACAAGTGTCTTTATAAAGATGACCATTTAATGATATATATATATATAGATGTAGATAAAAAAATAGAATAAATACCCTCACTTAAAACTTTGATAAATTCAAACCTTTTTAATTCCTCAAAAGTTGGTGGCTTAATTTGTTCTTTAGTTTCTGACATCTTTATTGATTGTTACTCGAATTCAATGAATATAGGCCATTCATCTATGAAATTTCATATGTTACACTAAATATTTCTATAATAAGGGTGCTGACATATATTAGCTAATATTTTAGGGGGTGGGGGATAACAGCAAATCTTAGGTCACACAATCTCATAAATAACGTGATCATAATGGCTTCAGTTAAGGTTGCGGGAGAAACTCCTCCAGAAATCAATTGACAGAGTTTCGACAGGTTACACATTAATTGTTTATTAGAGTTTTGGCAGAGTTTCGCATTTGGGGTTTTCGCCAATCATCAGAGTTTTGACAGGTTACACATTAATTGTTCATTAGAGTTTCGACAGAGTTTCGACAGTCATTAAGAGGTTTCGCCCACAACCTTAGCTTCAGTGAAAGATCTGCATTTTTATAATTTGAATGTAAGTGTTTAAATTTGGGAATGATCTACATCTATACCAATTGTCATTTGCACAAAAAAATGTAATACACTTTTTGTCTACAGGATGATATGGCAATTAATTCTCACATTCTCATATACATAAATGCTATAATTAATCATTCTTTTTCTGATATGCATTTCCTTAAATATATTTTGTCAAAAAGAGGCCACTTTTGTTGTGATTGAGAAGAGAGAAGTCATCAAGAATCCTTGAGTTTTGTTCTTTAGATTTTCCTTTAGCAGGATGCATTGTTTATAATTTTCAAATAAGTAAGAGTTATTACACTCAGAACCAAATAAGTTGTTTGTCAATCCAGAAATTCCAAGAGATCATAATATATTATAAAGGAAAATTTATTTACTCCAATGTTGCTTTTAAAATGCTTGATTTATTAATAAAATTAATTCTTTTTTTCACTTGTGCTTTGTTGATACCTAAAAAGGCAAATGATTGTTATGCACGTGATCAAAATGTCTTACCTGGGGGTGGGGGAGTAAGTGCTACTATAAAAATGATATTAGCTAATATATGTCAGTGCCCTTATTATACAAATATTTAATTCTATTTAACATGTAACTACCCCCCGTAATGATTTATATTCGTTTAGGTCGACTGTTCATCGTCCGTTCCTTCCAATTAGTCTGATTATTGATTTCAATATTCAGTTTAAGCTTCGCACTAATTTTCTTTAGGAACAATTTAAGCTGTTCACCTCTTTAATCAAATCATTTGTCATTTATAGCTTTAGGTCAAATGATTACACTATGAATTTACCTTGAACATTCCCCATAATATATTTTTTTTATCTTTTGAAAAAAAACATTCATCTACATGATCTTTTGCAAAATGTTATTCAACCTTACATTGAATTCAAATAACGTGATCCTCCAGTTAAGGAAAGGATTTAATAGAAATCGATCCTGATAAAATTCACACATTTGAATATATAAAATAATTAGAAGAATACTTTATCTTCATTAAGAATATTGTTAAATGTAAAAAACAATAAATTTATTTTCTTATTCATATTCATTATTTTTACTGTATTTATTTATATCCAGAAAAAAAATATGACAATAATTATAAATTAATAAATCAATATCAACAAGTTTTCCTCTATCATATGTAACAATTACTTCATGATTTTAGTAAGATGAATGACAGACAGGTTAATAAACCATCACAGGTCAAAAAGTGACAAAATAGCTATACTCAAACTAAAAAATATTGAGACTGTAAAGTTTATGTCTACGACCAAGAAACCGCAATATTCGGGATGTTGCAACCTAAGTTGCAATCAGTTGCAGGCATCAATTTTAGAGACGTGGTGTAGTTTTAAATGTTAGGCTTTAATAATCCGGGCGTACATTTTTCTGGTAACTTTATGATTATAATTTGAAGCTATTGATTATTTTTGGTAGGCTTGTAAAACAGTTAATACATATTAGCCAAGTTTTTCTTCATATATTTGTTTTATTAAAAAAAAAAAAAGGTTTATAAATAGAAAATAATGAATTAATACGCGTATATATATATTAATAGAAAAAATAAAGATCATTAACACCCAAGAAGTTACATATTAATTAAATCTAGCACAAAAAGAAATCCTTCATCTATATGTTGATTGTATTGATCCAGGTTTAAGATAAACATGGGCTATACGATTATTACCATTACGAATACCCTTACTACGGTAATTACTATCACTATCAATAATATAATTATCGATATCATAATAGCCTTTATCTATATATCCCGGAGCATTTCTAAATAAACTGAATCTTTCAAAATTTATACTTAAATTCTTGTTAACAATAATTTTGGGAATTTTTGGTAATTTAACTGATGGATTATTATTATCATTATCACTTTCGTTTCTTTCTTCTTCGCCATTATTCTTATCCCTATTATCAGCATCTTCGTTACAGTAATAAATACTATTAATAATGTCAAAGTAATTACTTTTACTATAATAAAGAATTTCTTTGTCACTATAAAGATAACGTGAATGATTGGGAGCATCATGTTCACTATGTTCACTATGTTCACTATATTCGCTGTATTCGCTGTATTCACTATATTCACTGTATTCACTATATTCGCTATATTCGCTGTACTCACTATATTCATCAGGTTCTTTATTTCCATTTCTATTATTATTATTATTATTATCATCATTAGTATAATTAGTTTGTAATGGTTGTAGTTGTGCTTGTGACGGTATTAATGAATTTGGAATTCGGGAATTGGATGAAACAATTTGTAAATTGGGCGAAGAGGAAGAATTAGGAATGGCAGTTGTATTTTTTCTTATCTTTTCATCTTCACTATAACTATAACCGTTGCTAGTATCACTATATACATCACTATTTGTTGTTACAGTACTATAACTATATATGCTACTACTTGTTTCTGCAGCACTGTCATTATACATACTGCTAGCACTGTACTCCCCAACACTATTACCATCAGTATTTTGTTTAAGGGTTAAAACTTTATAATTTTTGTTGTTGTTATTGTTCATATTACTGGTCCAAGAAATAAGTTTTGAAGCAAATTTTTTACTACAAGCAGATTTTTCATAATTTGAATATGGTGATGGCAATGAAGAAGGGAACGTTTTAAAAGAATCGGATATTGATGGATTTTTAGGTCTTATTATAGTTGGTATTGGCGTTTGCAATGATGATGATGGTTCATTATTTGACAAATATGATTTTGAGTGATTGTTATAAGGATCACTTTTAAGTTTAGAAGGTTTTGGTTTAATATTGACGAGAAGAATTTCATTACCATTCTTAATCTTATTGTCATTTTCATTATTACAATTATTATTAGTGTCGTTGTTGCAATTGTAATAATCTTCTACTTGTTTACCTTTCTCACTATAATTGATATTATTATAATAACCATCAAAACAGTTATCATTAATATCATTACCATTAGTATGGTAATCATTTAAACTGATAACTACGGTTTGAGAAAAGTTTTGATTTGATGGTCCAGAATAAATTTTATTTATTAATGGAGTTTCCTTCTTCTTATAATAATTATTATTTGCCTCATTGCCGGGTGATGTTGTTGATGGAGTATAGTTTAAAGATTTTATCGATGAAAATGTTTTTGTTTGTGTTGGCTTCATTAAGTTTGTCGGAGAAGGTTGCGAGAAAGAAGAAGATGAGAGGGTTTCAGATGGGTCAAATGTTATTATTTTGTCATCATGCAGACTATTGTAATAATTACGTATGTATGAATGTGTATTTGGAACATAGACTGTTGGTAATTTTGTGATTTCATTTTCGTTATCAATTGATCGTTGTTGATTAGTTTCGTCGAAATTTTGATAATTTATGAATTTTGATTGCTGGGAAATGTTGTTGTTGTTATCATTATTTTTAGTGTTGCTGCGGTGAATATTTGATGTTGAATCATCATCATCATCATGGTGATTCTGATGATTTTTCTTTTCATCATCAATATCATCATCATCATCTTTATAATTATTAAAAACATCGTTGTCGTTGTTATTGCTATTATATCTAATTTTAAGATGTTGTTTGAAATGACGATGCTTTTTATGATAAATAGCTACTCCAATACCAATTAATAATAATGATAAACCTATTATTACTCCAATAACTAGACCAAAAGATGCAATGCTATTATTATCTTGTATTCCATTAACTGTGTCATCATAATTAACAAAATATTGGAATGTCATTGTTGTTGTGGGTTGAACTGACTGCGATGTTAAAAATCCGGCAATAGAAGGTTTGGGGTATTGTTTAATAGAGGACGATGAAAATGAAGAATGAATTTCTTTATTTTTTTCACTTTTATTTTCATGTTCTTTTTCAACCTTTTTTAAAATTTTTAATAGTTTTTTCGATTCTTTACGAAGTTTATTTGTCATCTTTATTATTTATTTTTTTTTTTAAAGAAAAAGATTTATTAATGGAAATCATATAATGGTAGTTTGCGTGAAAGTGTTGTAGGGTGGTGGAGGATTGATTTTAAAGGAAATAATGTTGAATTAGAGAAAGAGAAAGGGAGAATGAATTTAAAGAGTAGTTTGTTGATTTTGATTTTGATTTATGAGAAAGTAAACCTCTACTATACGAAAAGAAGAGAAAGAAAAAAGAAAAACAGAGAAAATTTTATTTTATTTATTATATTTATTGTCAAGAAATTTTTTTTTCTTGTTTTATTTTTCTCTATTTTCCTTTCTTCCTTTCTTCTTTTTTCAAAATTAACAATAATAATTATAATAATAAATTTGTGAGAAAATTATTAAAATTTGTATTAATTATAATTGATTGATATGACCATCTATGAGTTAATTGGATTAATTATAAATGAAGAATTAATATAATGTATGTATGAATTCAAAAATTACAAAATCAATAAAATCTTAATTTCATAACAACAACATTGGTAGTATTGGTATTGTATTATTATTATTAGCGGAAGTGTCTATTTTCTTCTTCTACGCTACTATCACTATAGTTTTGTAATGTGGCGCAGTATTAAGATGAAAATAATAATAAATGAGAAAA